TATTAAACATAGCATCTAATGCACTATCTGTAATGAGTATATAATACTCCATCATATGGGTGTACCATAATTTATTCAACCGGTTTCTGACTGATAGGGATTTAAAATGTCTCAAGTCTTTTTCACAACTAAAATACTTCAAGAATATCTTAGTACCTATGTCTGTGTGCTTATGTGAACTTCCACTAATAAGATAAGTCCTCACTGATGAAATTCATGGCTCTCTGCCAATTTCTCTTAAGGAAACTACTGGCCAGTTTACACTGTTTCTAGTAATCTATGTCAGTTTCTGCTACTCTCTCCAATCTAATGAATTTATTAATCTAGATCTTTCTCTGGATGATTTGTAAAAACTATGTGTTAGAATTCTTTACACTTCTCTGACATATATAAAAAGTACTATTTTACCAGAATCTTTCCATTTTTATGTATTCAAATGTATCGAAATTTCCTTTATAGTTTCTGTACTAAGGAGAAAAATATATTTACTATATTTAAATACCATCCCACGTTTTTTTATGCATTTACTATTTGATGTTCAAGTCTTTAGTTCAACTGGAATTTATTTTGGAGAAGGAAAAAGGAAGCTGTCGTCATTGATTTACCTGCACAGTTAAATGGCCATTCTAACATCAGTTATTAAACTTTTGTCCCAGTGATTTGCAATGCCAGCTTTTTCCTATACATAATAGATTTGGGTTTATTTTTAAACTTTCTATTGACCAGTCTATTAAAAACATAGTATCCAAACTGTTTTAAAATATCTAACTTTATAATACATTTTAGTAGTTAATATGTGGTCCAACTAATTTTATATGAAAAAGATTTCTGAAATTGTGATGAAATTCAAAGAGAAACTATTTAATCTACTCATAAAATTTTGTGAATTTATAACATAATAAAAAGATGAAAACATTTACTAAACTTTTCTGTGGAATAGGACGTTAAATAAGTGAAGGCTCATCATGGAGTTTCAGCTAATGCAGGAGTCTGTGCACTTAAATACTATTTTCATTCTCTCACACTGTCTTTCAATTTTCATGCCCTTTCTGTCTTACATGCATACTCTACATTGTTAAACTAATAATACTTACCTGTTTGATTTCTTTAACAGCCAGAGTAACTGAGAACAAGATTGCCTAACTAATGCTGCTCTGACAGGGAATGTCACAGGCTGATTTAGTTCATTGCATATATATTCCATCTCCTTCACCATTGTCCAACTATACCCTGAAAGGAAAAGAA